TTTTATGTTTTCAAAAGGGAAAAGCGTACTCTGGAAATGTGCTTTGGACTGCGGGTTGGGACTTAGAAAAGCTCAGGGTCTCTTTAGCAATTATGCCAGGGCGAAAGGGTATCGGCCATCGGTGGCCGTTGGATTTGAAATGAACGGCTCAGATTAGATCTGTGAGGGGGAGAGAAAGAAGCTGGCGGCCGGAACAGTAACTCCGGTGCGGCGGAGCCATGGACGTCAGCGAGAGCTCGCCGGCGTGCGGGAAACAAGGCCTACGGGCCACGATTCAAAACGGGAATTGGACGGGGAGAAAGAGGAGAGCAAGGCGAGCTCACCACGGGCAAAAATCGAAGGCGGAGATGAAGCGAGGACGGCGGACCACGGTGAGCAGCGGACGACGGCGTTCTGTGAAGACCGACGACCATGAGTTAGCGATTGAAGGTGAAAACAAGAAGATAAAGGCTGCAGGAGGTCCGTTAGTTCTCGGCAAAGCTCGGCGGAGGGCCAGACGCGACGGCGAGGCGACAGGAATGGCAGCTTGTGCACGGCGGATCTGGCGAGGGCTGCGGCGGTTGCTGTGGCCTCCTCGGTTTTATAGAGGCCGGGCGTGGGGAGACGCTCCCACATCGCGAGGAGCAGGCGCGGGGCGGTTGCGGCTTGATCGGTGCTGCGGTTGTGGGAGGTGGGGGAAGGCTCTTACGAGCGGGGTCGGGTCGTCAGTGGCTGGGCGAGGGAAGGGCGCGGTGGCAGTTGCCGTGGGGTGCTGGGCCAAGGGAGCGGCGGCGGTTTCCACCCGAACTGGGCCGGCCCAGGAAGGAAGCGGGGGAGGGGAAGGAAGAGAGGTGAGCGGGCCATCGGGGAGCTAGGCCAGCAGGCCGAAATGAGAGTGGGGAGGGAGTGAGAAGGATTTTGCCTTTTCTTTTTCCAAATAGATTTCCAAAAGCACTTTCAAATAGATTTTGAATTCATTTGAACTTTGAATCAAGACCAATCATCACAAAAATAAATATGCAGCAGCATGTATGCATCAAGAAGTTGCTAACCTTATGTTTGATTTTAATTCCATAAAAATTATTATTTCCCCTAGGTTTAATGCTCACAAAAATGCTTAACTAAATAAATTTTAACTATTTTGAAAGAATGCAAATTTTTGGGTGTTACACGACCACCATTGCCGCAAGCCAAGCCTTCTCCATCTCCCGCAATGAAGAACTCTGGATGAAACTCAAGGCTGGAACCTGAGTCGACGAAAAGATTTTCAAAGCCCATCAGTAGCAATCCAGAAGCATGTCATTTATCCGCTGAACGCCCCGGGTGGTCCTCGCATTCACCAGGCTCGGTCACCGATCATCTCACCAGCAAAGCCCAGTTGACAAACAACAATCCCGCAAGGGGACTCAAAGAACACTAGCTCGGACACCCAAGGTGGAGAAATAACCTCACAAAGAAGTCACGGATGACATTATGGATGTCGTAACCACTTTGGAGGGACAAAACATTCCCCCAGCCTCCGGCAACCATGTGGGTGATTGCAACATCGGCAATACTACAGACTTCTTGAACACCTCTGGCGTAGATAAGCTCACGGCAGATTCAAACACCAACGCTGAAGAAAGCATCAAAGAGAACATCGTCGGTGCTGAGTTGACCACATAAAACACCATCGTGCTCAAGCCGCCCAACAACCACCGCCAAACACCAATCACCACGAACATAGACACTAGAGAAAGCATGAAGGAAGCAAAATATTCCCGGCGGAGTCCGCACCTAGAAGAAATCCAACCCATTTATGAGCAAGCCGGACCTCGCTTGTGGCTCACCGAAGAAGACGACATCGACAGAATCTTCCACAGAGAGCCCAAGGAGGAACAAGAAACTCCTACGACCAATGCTGAAGGTGGTGCCGACACTGCCACCGCCGCAAGAGAAGCGCAGGAGCAGATAAAACCTAGCCAACGACCTAGAAGCCATATAGGAGGTAAATACAAGCTAGTAGACCTACATCTACAACTATACAGGGTCCTCCCGCCGAGTAACGAGGAGAAAAAGTGAGATGTGGAAAGCCCAAATTGTTGGCGGCCCGGCCTGGTCATAAAAAAGGGCTCCTTTTCCTTTCGGCGCTTCTAGCTCCCGGACGCCCAGATTTAGGGGCGCGTCCGGATGCACCTTGAGCCCGTCCGCCCCCCGCACAGAACGCACCCCCACACGGAATGCCCCCCGTAGAGAACATTAGACTCGATCCCGAGTTCCTGACCAAAGCAACAGAGCAAACAACGGCGGCCCGTCCCACGGAACAGTAGACTCGTTCCGTCCCATAGGCGTCGCATCCCGAGATACCACCACACCGCCCCGTCACCTCGCCGCGCCCTGCTAGGTGCGTTGCATCCTCACCGCGCTCCTATCAAAAGTATTACTTATTTGCAACATCAAACAAAGCGCAATGCGAGATGCAACATCAGAACAAAGTCTACTGCAACATTAGAACAAAGGTATTGCAACAACAGAACAAAGGTACTGCAACGCGAGATGCGAGATCAGAAAAAAGAAACTAATGCAACAAAGAAATATTACTTGTTGCAACAAAGGCTCTACATCTGCTTGCCGATTGGAAACCTAGCGGCCCTAACTTGTTAGACGAACCTTTGAAAGACTTTATAGTGAACCCTGCCGACCTTCCTTGGTAGTGGGTCAAGAGGCTGATCGCCTTGGGCAAAAGGGTAAATCACAGCTTATGGTAAAAGTGTACAACCTCTGTAGAGTATAAAACTGTTATAATAGTCGTGCTCACGGTCACGAGCGGCTTGGAAAACTCACAGAATTATGAGTTCTTATTGTACTATGATGTTGATGCTCATATTTAATCATTATTGTCATATTGCCATTGCTTATGATCATGTGAAAACTGGAGCTTAAGCATAAATTAGCAACTCAGGTTCTAATGATAAAAATTGATCTAGTTCAGCCATGTCAAACCATTTGAGCCTACATCCCCTCATATTATGCTTGTTAAGCGGTGGTTTGCTTACGCTTGCTTTACTTTTCAATTACTTGGATAAAAATCCCGGATGTGTAACAGAAGGTGGAGCTTGATTCAGTTTCTGAGGAGTGCTAGCCGTATGTTACCCCCAGTCAGTCGTCCCCTGTGAAGTTGGAGCCTGAAGAAAAGATTAGTAATAGTTCCGCTATACTCTAATGTAAGTGCTAATTATAAGTATGTTTTCACTATATAACATTGTTTCTGATATCCTATATTCTGTTATTGTATGTGTGGACTTTCTGGGCACACATATGACGAATCTAGTTTTGTTTTTAAAACCGGATGTGACAGATACGTCAAAGGAGGAAAAGAGTAATTCTCGTTTAATTTGGAGCATTGTTAGAATTAGTATGGCTTTAAGTAAAAAAACAAGGTGTTGGTCATGCCTCGTTTGGAGCATTGCCGCTGAGTGGTACAAATAAAATCTTCAACGTGCTACATATATCCAACACATGCTGGAAATCACATTTCTAGCAAACATTTTTTTCATATATTGTTAAATTTCTCATATTTGGTAGATGTGCTTTGTTAATCTACATGATGGGGACATGCAATCATTATAGGTTGATTTGGATGTGCCAGTACAACTTTGTGTTAACGTAAGGTCCAATGTCTTGAGCGGAGGAAGACATACATTGGGTTTTTCTTTTATTTCTTGTTCTTATAATGGGCACATGGCTTTCATGATCCATTAGGTGGCATGCATGATTTGAATTGTGAGCTTAGAAAACATGATTTTTGTTTTCGCAGTCTGTTACTATGGTACAAACTTGGTTTGTTCCGATTTCACATAAAAAATTGAATTATATGTTTCTATATATGGTACTTGTTATTGCTCCTTTTTTATTTGTTCTCGCTGCAACACATGAACATAAACCTATATGAGATAAAAAAACAAAAAAAGTTACACTACTACTAAAATCGTTTCGAGATGCGGTCCTTTTCCATTAAAGGAGGCCGGTGGGCATAGCATCCACCTTCGGCAAAACGCCTCTGTTAATTAACTAAGGGTCCGTTTGGATCTTTACAATTGAATTTATTCTAATAATTATAATTTAGGCATAAATTAATTAAGCTAATATAGTTGTATATGTCATATATTTGTATATTTATTGTTAGACATGTAAGAGACATACTTATATGTTGCATTTTTTATTGAAAACCAGCCCACACAGGGTCCTGGTTGTAATTGTTCATGCTTCGCGAAGAATGATAGAATTGACTACAAATGGGATGTTACGTACATCACACTCTAAAATCATGTTGTTTTTTGGTAATAACACAACACACGTTTGAATTATCATGGCATTATCTTGCTCCTGTTGCAATGTACGGACACGATCCTAATGAGCTAAAAGTATATAGATATGTGGCTTATTCTTTATTTCACATGTTACTTGAAAAAGAAAAGATGGAGGTGGAAATTACACTGCCGGAGGAAGAAGACTCCACTCAAAGCGACGATGCAGCAAGGACGCGAGCATGAGATGAACCATGCGAAGAGCCAGCGGCATCCCCGGGCACATCCTCCTCCCGGACCCAAACGGCAGGAGCTCGAAGTCTCAGCCGCGGAAGTCGACTGCTTTCTCGTCGTCCTCTACTACCAAGAACCTCTCCGGCATGAACTTGTCCGGCTCAGGCCACGCCTTGCCTTCGTGGCCGATCGCCCACACGTTCACCACGACGCGTGCGCCCTTGGGCACCTCGTAGCCGCCGCGGATCTGCGTCGTCGTCTCGGCCTAGTGCGGAAGCAGGAGCGGCGCCGGAGGGTGGATGCGGAACGTCTCCTTCACGATGGCCTGGAGGTACTTGAGCTGCGCAATGTCGGACTCCTCGACCTCCGATCTGGAGCCGATCACCTGCGCGAGCTCGGCGCGAGCTTTCGCCATGGAGGATGGGTTCAGTAGCAGCTCGGCCATGACCCATTCTACCGTCGCTGCGCTTGTGTCGGTGCCGGCATTGAATAGGTCGGACATCAACGACAGGAGCGTCTGACGATCAAAGCCCCGCCATCCTCGGCGCCACGGTAGTCGAGCAGCACGTCCAGGAAGTCTTTCATGGGAGCTGTGGCGGCGGCGGCGCGCTCCTGCAGGCGGCGCTCGATCTGCTTGTCGATCATGGCGTGCAGCCGCTCGAACAAGCTCTCGATGCGCCTCCTCAGCCCCTGCGGGTCCAACCACGCGACCTCGGGGAAGAAGTCCGATACGTTGGGCAAGCCAACGGCAGCGTTCGTCTCCGCGAGAACGCCCTCAAACGATGACGATGACGACGAGCTGTCGTCGTCGATGTCTGCGAGTTCGGTGGAGAAGATGGTGGAGGAGAGCAGGTTGACCGCGTTCACGAAGGCCAGGCGGTTGACGCCGACAGGCACGCCCTCGCGCGCCAACCGCGCGACGTGGGAGACGAGCCGCCGCACCTTGTCCCGGCGGAGGCGGAGGGACTGCTGCGTGTCGAGGCTGTGCGGCGCGAAGAGCTCCGCCGAGCACACCTTGCGGAGCGAGTGCCAGCGGGGGCTGCTGGTGGGCAGCCAGCCCATGGAGTGCGTGTAGTGCGCGAACACGTGGGCGCTGTCCAGGAGCGAGCGCCCGGAGAAGGCGGCGTCGTGGAGCTGGAGGAAGTCGAGGGCGGCGTCCGCAGACGAGGCCACGATGGTGGTGACCGTGCCGAGGCGGAGGGCCATCACCGGGCCGTGGCGCTCCGCGAGGCGCGCCAGGGAGCGGTGCGCGGGTTGGCGCCGAGGGAAAAGACGCTGCCGACGAGAAGCAGAGGTCGGGGACCGGGAGGCAGGTTGCGGCGTCTGTCGGCGCAGAGGCCGAGGAGGTACAGGGAGGAGAGGACGAGGACCAGGCAGCATGGGGCGTACAAGAGGAGGAGCTCCATGTCCATGGTGGCCGGGTGACAACTAGCTAGCTTGGTGATCGAGCTTGTGACGAGAGCTGTCCGGAGCAATGCAATGTACATACTTTTATATATATAGCTAGGGCCTAAGGCGCAACACAACTGTTGATTGGTGGAACACAGCACCGCAGGGGATCGACATCACATCTAGATTACTATACAAAAGGATTCTTCCCCAATTTGTGCAGTGGAGATTAAAAACTCAACTCCAGCAGGCCCCTGCTAGATCTTCCAAATTTATTGGCCTCCTATTTTACCCTCCCACCACCCATTTCTGTTGCCCCTGCCCCCCCGCCCCCCGACCTATCTGACAACCCTAATATTTCTGTCGGGGATCTAATACCGGGGTACCCCAGAAGGTGGAACTAATAACCACCGAACGTTAAAAACTTCTGGACGCATAAGAGCGTTGCTTCACCCCTCACCGGAATGACAGGAGCTTGGTTCCCCCTCGCCCGACGCCTTTGGGGTGGGCTCAGTCTCGCCCGAGGGCCGAGGATTAGTCTCCGTCTCGCCCGACGCCTTTTGGACGGGCTCGATCTCGTCCGAAGGCCGAGGGATAAACCCCGACTCACCTGACGCCTTTGATGTGGCTCTGCCTCGCCCGAGGGCACAGGGCTAGCCTCCGGCTCGCCCGACGCCTTTAGGGCGGGCTCGGTCTCGCCCGAGGGCTGAGGGATAGACTCCGCCTCGCCCGACCCCGAAGGAGCAGGGTCGGTCTCACCCAGGAGATAGGGATTGGTCTCCGCTTCGCCCGACGGCAAGGAACAAGCCTCACTCTGCTCCATATCTAAAGATTGGATTCATCTTACCTGACCACTTCTCCCTGTTCCCTCAAGATGATAGAGACATGGCAAGACAAGACGTTCAGGTCAACCGTGGCTCTAAGAACCATACCCTGCACCCTGGCAGGAAAAGTACTGCCAGGGGATGATGGGACGGGCGCTTTAGGCCCTTCCAGGCGCCGCAGAGCCCGAAAGGTGTTACAGGTGCGAGCTCTCCACCCTGTAGAGTTGTAGGCGCCGCCTTCAGCTCTGGGACACGGAACCCGACGAAGATATACGACAACCACTACGCTCTAGAAAAGGATTTGCTATCTCCACGAACGACGGATATTCCGTCACCACGCTATGGACCCAAGGGAGCGGCGCCCGCTTCCCGACCCCTTAGGTCCACCAAGACAGAAGACCTTGGCCACGGCGCTACTCCAGATCCCGACCCCGCGTCCCTCCGACGAAGACTCATAGGAACCAGAAGGCGTGCGGAGCAAGGCTGGGGGAGGCTCAAAAGTCAAAACCACTGTACTGTGGCCCATACCCTGCGCAGGGTAGCATTCTGTAACCAACCTGACATTCTATAGAGACATCGACAGTATTGTAGGCGCTTATCTTCCTTCGCACTCATCAGAATGAAGAACCAGGCCGGGTAGACGTGAGCCACAAGACTAAGTAGAGTACGCATCCTAAAGCCCTCACCCTTGTAAAGCCAGCCCCTTCATCTATAAAAGGGGATGCGCTTCCTCCATAAAAAGGGAGGGAGAGAAAAGATCGAATGATACGACTCTCAGATACACACAGTCAAGTTGTGTCGAACCTCTTGACATCCCTTCAACCCTTCCATCAGAGACTTGGGACCAGTCCCTCTCTCGATCGTTTGTACCCATTACTACAAACTGTTCACGGTGCTAATAACACGAGCAGCAACAAACTGAGCGTAGGGGCTTTCGGCCCGAACCAGTATAAATCTTGTGTCCTTTAGCGCACCATCCGAGCCTAACGCGCATTACTATAAATTTACTTGCCGGTGCTTGTACGAAACACCGACAGTTGGCGCGCGCCGGTGTAGGGGAGCTTATGCGCGTCCAAATCAGGCCTCGGATGGCCACCCACGCAATCACACAGGTCCCGGCGCTGCGTGCGTTTGGCGACCTAGATTTCATCATCACACTAGAAGGAGAGTTGGCGCCGACTCACTCTGCTGCCCCCCATCTCTCCTTCCATCAACCTCACCGTCTTAGGCTTGAGGGCCCGCCGGCAACTCCCCGAGAGTCCGGTCACCAAGGGAGGTCTCGCACAACGTCACCCTATGTCCGAAGGTCCCGTATGGAGCGCCCGACACAACAAGCGTTCCGTTCGGTCTCCGCATTGGCTGCGGCGACCGCTAGCCACCTTCTCTGGCGCTACGGATGAGTTCGATCACCCACGAACATCGAGTTCGTGGGGCGATTGAACATGATACGAAGATCCTTTACGGGCTCCTCAACGAGGAGCCGGGATCGTTCTCTAGCTCGGATTCCAGTAGGGGGAGCCACCACCCTTCCCAGGAGTGCTTCATGACGCAGACCCCCGAAGGTCACGTCGAAAGCGCCTCCAGGGAAGAGGTCACCCCTACAAACAACCCTGACAACAGATCTGGGGAAGAGATGACAGCCCCATCTTGCCTAAGGATGGAGCAGCTGAGGGCCCGTCAGCAAGAGATCGATGAGGCCGGGCAAGGGCTCGCCCGGGAATACGCAGACATCAATCGCGAGATTGAACGCCGCAAAGACGGGGGGCGCGCGCGCGCCACGGCCCGCACCGTACATCGGAGGATCCTCACCGATGATGGGGCCCTTCCTCACTTTGCCCGAGCCAGCCAGAACATCGCCGCAGCAACCGCCTTGCTGCATGGCCTTCCGGAGGCCGCGACATTCGAGGATCGCTGCGCTCGCCGGGAGATTCGCACGTTGCTCGAGCGAGCAGCGGCGCAGCAGGCGGAAAGTTCGTTGTCTCGACGACGCGAACCCGACACCAGCCAGCGCGCGCCCTCGGTGCGTCCCACCAAGGACGCATCCGTACACCAAACACCGCCAGCCGGCGGGCAGCCCTCCGTCGTCCCAGTACATCAACGCCTCGGCCCTCAGGCCTTTGCCCGACACATCCTCAACGCTACGTTCCCCCTAAGGTATCGACCGCCTACCAACATCCCTAAATATTCTGGCAAAACAAATCCCGGGCTTTGGCTCGAAGACTATCGGCTTGCATGTCAGGCCGGTGGTGCGAGTGATGACAACTTCATTATTCGCAATCTCCCGCTGTTCTTGGCCGATTCGGCGCGAGCATGGCTGGAGCACCTACCGTCCAATGCTATTCAGAGTTGGGCGGATCTGACGGAGATCTTCGTGGGTAACTTCCAGGGCACGTACAAACGCCCTGGAAACCCATGGGACCTCAAAAACTGCCGCCAGAAGGCCAATGAAACCCTTCGCGGGTACATTCGGTGCTTCTCTCGACAGTACAACGAGCTCCCGAACGTCGCCGACGCTGACATGATAGGAGCCTTTCTGTCCGGGATGACCTACGAATCCCTGGTCCACAAGCTGGGATGCAGGGGCCCGCAGACTACCAAGGAACTCCTGGACATCGCCACCAGTCACGCCTCTAGAGAGGAAGCGGTCGGAGCCATCTTCGACCGCACTGACGGCAAGGCGAGGCGGGACGAGGCCGCCGACGAAGGCACCTCCGACCGTCCCGCCAAGAGAAAAAAATAAGAAGCAACGACGCGACAACCCGCTTGTGTCTGTAGCCGACCGCAAAGGTGGCCGGAAGCCTGCGGAAGGCACTCCGAACCACTTCGAGAAAATGATCGAGGGGCCATGCCCAAACCATGCCTTCCCGGCCAAGCATCTATATAAGGAGTGCGGCCTCATGCGCAAATACTTGGCCGGGGGACTTAACAAAGGGGAGCAGGGGAAGGAACCTGTTCCCGCCACAGAGGACGCAGAGGAGAAAGATGACGCCTTCCCAACACCGACCGGCGCCCTTATGATCTTCGGAGGATCAACGGCCTACAACTCCAGGCGCCGCCAGAAGGTCTCCCGTCGCGAGGTCTATATCGCCGGACCGGCCATGCCAGCCTTCCTTCGATGGTCGGATTCTGCCATCACCTTCGACCGGACCGACCATCCGGATGCCGTCCCACACCCGGGAAGGTACCCGCTTGTCGTCGATCCGATCGTCGGTCCAAAGCGGCTCACCAAAGTACTGATGGATGGGGGCAGCGGCCTCAACATCATGTACGCCAAAACGCTCGACGAAATGGGCATCGACCGAACAAACCTCCGTCCCATCCGAGCACCATTCCATGGCATCGTGCCTGGTAGGCAAGCCGTACCACTGGGGCAGATCGACCTGCCCGTCACTTTTGGGGATCGGTCCAATTATCGGACTGAGATCCTCACCTTCGATGTAGTGGGGTTCCCAGGAACTTTCCACGCCATCCTGTAGCGACCATGTTACGCGAAGTTCATGGCCGTTCCCAATTATACGTACCTGAAGCTAAAAATGCCGGGCCCCCGCGGGGTCATCACCATCGGCACCTCTTTCCAGCGCACTTACGAATGCGAGGTCGAATGCTGCGGACACGCATCCACAGTCATCGCCTCCGAAGAGCTCGCCACCCTCAGGGAGAAGGTCGTCGAAGAGGCACCCGACGCAAAGAAATCAACCGGGTCGTTCGAATCGGCAGAAGGCTCCAGGGAGGTCCTCTTGGATCCAGGCAGCTCCGAGGGCAAAAAAGTCTGTATCGGGACCGCGCTCTCCTCGAAGTAGGAAAGCACGCTCGTCGACTTCCTCCGCGCCAACAAAGACATCTTTGCGTGGAAACCCTCGGATATGCCGGGCATCCCGAGGGAGGTCGCCGAGCATACTCTCCAAATCCTTCCGGGCTCCAAGCCAGTGAAACAACGCCTATGCCGCTTCGACGAGGAGAAACGCAGGGCCATTGGCGAGGAGATAGCCAAAC